CTGGCGTCGTCACAGGCATCCCAGCACTAGACACAGCAGCAGTACATCCGTCTCCAGTTAATTACCTTTCATGGTCTCTTACAGTGAGCCTGCTGCGTCGTAAGCAGTTTGACATGGTGACTTACATCCGCGTAGGTCGGTACGGCCACCATACTGTCCTCCATATCTGGGTTCTCCTCGTGACTGGCGTGACCCACATGAGCCTCGAAGTACCTCTCAGCAGCCATGAAGCTGTCCTGCATCTTCGATGCTGGCTGCAGTTTCTGTCGTCTCTGGGCCTGTTGTCGTCTCTGTTCCTGTTGATGTTGCTCCTGTAGCGACAGCTTGTAGCGTGCACCAGCGTAAAGGTCCTCTCTAAAAGCTCCATCTCGGTGGCGCTGCAGCGGTCGAGGCAGCTTTTGTAGCAGTAACATACTCTGAGATGCACTAGCGTGGGAAGAAGCACGTAGGGATCGCCCAATACTACGTTGCATCCAGTGCGCTATAGGTAAACATGAAGCTTAGTACAAGGTGAGCACGCATGGGTAGTTTGGAGATCTCGTACCTGGCGCGCTAAGCAGCTCGCTCTCGAGCGACCGACCCTGCACTTGTTGACATCTTCGCATTCCTCTTTGTAGAAATAAAACAAACTGCCATTTGGAATATGTTTACTCTTTAGCACAGGTTCTGGTTCGTGCCATTTCATACTTGAAATTTGTACCAGAACTAAATACACTTGATTTTTGTAAAATAGTTCTTTCTTTCATCGCTTAGGGGACGTCTGGTCGTGCTCAGCTTCTCTTCTTACTGGCATTCTCCCCACGCTCTACTACAAGATCTGCCGGATCAGCTAAAGTAGCACATTCTAATGGCTCTGCGACGTCCGCGTCTACAGCAGCAGACTGTGCTGCAACGTTAGTCGAAGCTTCAACCACTGCATCAATCGAAGCCTCTGCTGCAGGGTCAACAGCTTTTGCACCTAATTCTGCAGCCACGTCGGCTGAAGCTTCTGCCACAGCGTCTGCTGCCGAATCCGCCGCGGTCGACTCAACCACCGGATCTGCTGCTGGATCGGTCTGCCCCAGTGGAGTCGGCCGCCGGATCCACCGCAACTCCAGTAGCATTAGCAGCAATGGAAGTACCTGGAATGACTGTGAAGGACTCAATCCAGTTGAGCGAGAGCTTCGGTGGCCTTCAGGGCGTGGGATTCTCGGACAAGAACTTCGTCAACTCGGGACAGACCGTCGGTCAAATCTCCATATACGCCGGTGAGCGTCTGGACGGTATCAGTTTGGAGATATCGGCTCCAAAGTCACTGACCTTTACCACGGTGGAACTGGTGGACATCGCAAGATCTTAAACCTTGACGAAGGTGAGCATATCACGCCGATGGAAGTTCATTGGGGCAAGAAGAACGACCATACGCGTATTTTCTACGTGAATTTCCTCACAAGTGCTGGTAATTTCCTCTTGGGAGGGTCCATGACTGATGAAAAGAGCACTGTTATCGCTCCTGAAGGTTTCCAACTCGCTGGGTTCTTTGGTAAATCCGGCAAGGAGATCGATACGCTAGGTGCGGTTTGGGCGTACATCGACCTCGTCACGCCTGCTCCGACACCGGTACTCGCTCCTACTACCATTGAAGACTCACCAGGTACCTCTGCCCCC